GTCTGCAAATTTCACCAAGAAGCACAAAGTTCACCATCATTCTGAGGATTCTGAGGATGTCACTCTGGCTCGTAAGAACACTGTGGAATTGATGGAATATATTGAGAAGGAAAAATTAGGCGTAGGTAAGGAGGTGGAGAAGGTAGAAGAAGAAGAACTCGATTATCGTGTAGTCGAGGATGAATCTCTTCAGGGTGAAAGTGTTGACGAATCTGAAAATGATGAGTCCACTGGTAACGAGGATTTGGATCTTCTGAGTGAAGATAACCACCAGGTAAGTATGAATGAGGATGAGGACATGGAGGACGACAAGATTGTGCTTGCTGGAGCTCCCAAGAAGCTGGATACCGTGCGTGGTTCTGCCTACTCCAAGTATGCGTCTGCTGAGGTGGCTGTGAATATGAACATTGACTCGCCTGAGGAGATGTTGAATTTGACCAAGTTGAAGGATCTTGCTCAGCGCAAAAGAATGGAGTTCAATGCAAACCTGAAAGGTACTACTGGTGCTGGTGTAAAAGGCGATAACAAGCTGGGTAACTCTGGTGGTGTCTCTTCTGGTACTGGTGCTAAGGGTAACAAGTCTGGTGTTGCTTCTGGTGTTGCTTTCGGTGGTGTTTCTGGTGGTGTTTCTGGTGGTGTTTCTGGTGTTGTCAAGAATAGCAAGACTAATGGCCGTGCGCCTCTCAAGACTAAGCAAGACGCCCGTAGGGCTCAATGAGTACAAAATTAGGCATCAAGATTGGCTCCTTGAACACGCGTAGCTTGTTCATGCAGTCTAATCCTACAAATCTCAAAGAGTTTTCATCTTATCTTCGCTCCTCCTCTCTCCATCTGGATATCCTTTGCTTGCAAGAGGTATCTCATTTCCGCTCTCAATCTACTCTCACTGAATCTCAAGTCCGTTCCTTTTCTTTTGCTTTTCCTAATTGTTCTCTCGTTGTGTCCAAGCACTGTGCTATTATATGTCTCAATTCTCGTTATTCTTTGGTGGATACGGAGGTATTGTTGGATGAACGTTGTCTTGTTGCATCTGTCGTAGATGCCTCAAGCAATGTTTTGTGCAAAGTGGCCAACGTCTATGGTCCAGCGCAGTCTTCTGACCGTCCTTCATTTATCTCTGATTTTCTCTCTCTTTCTGTTTGGTCTGATGTGTTCAACACACCTTGGATGGTTATGGGTGATTTCAACATTCACTTGCACTCTTTGTCTACTTCTCGTCAAGCCGATGTCGCTCCTTTTGTTCACTGGTTGCGTACTCACTTTGTCAATTGTCATCCGGATGGTTTAGCCACGTTTCCAAAGAGCAATACTTGTATTGATTACATCTTTGGTCACTCTTCTCTTGCTCCTCGTTTGACTAATAGTCAGTTACTATATATGCCTAGTAGGTGGACGGATCACTCTCTTTTGACTGTTGAAATGTTACCTGCGACAGCTAGTATTGGTCCTGGTAGTTGGCGGTTCAATCCAACTCTGCTTGATGATAAGGAATTTGTTGCGTTGTTGAATGCCACGGTGTCATTGTTCTTCTCTGGTGCTGTTGGTGGTGGGTCTAAGGGTGTCAATACTAGTCAAGGTAGTAGTGGTGACTCTGAAAGCACGGTGGCTAGATGGGAATCCTTCAAGTTGTTACTAAAGTGCTGTGCACAAAAGTACACTAGAAGCATGAAAGCACGATTCAAGAACAAAGTTTTTACGCTTCAACTGGAACGTATTAGGGCTCTGTCGACGTCTGTATCGGGTGTTGAGACTAGGAATGCTATTGGTCAAACTGATAGAGTGTCTACTGCTTCAGGTGATGCTGAACAGCAGGTCAGGCAACTAGAAGTTTTGATTGAGGATCAGATACAGAAAGAGACTAGTCAGAATATGCTTCGCTCTGCCACTCGTTGGTTAGAACAGGGAGAACGTAGCAACAAGTATTTCTATCGTTCGATCAAGGTGCGAGAGTCTCAACAGACAATTCAATCCTTAAAGTGCTCTACTACTGGGGATATCTTGGTGGAAGCAGCAGCTATCAACAGGGAGGCACAAGGTTTTTATCAAAGGCTATATACCCCTGATGCTGTCGATGCTGAAGCTATCGATACTCTCCTGGGGAATGTTCCAACTGATGTACGTCTATCATCTTTGGATGGTGATATGCTAATGGAACTTCCAACTCGCGATGTTTTGTTGTCTCTGCTCACTCATGCTCCCAAGTCTAAAAGTCCTGGTCTTGACGGTTTGCCTTTTGAATTGTATCAATATCTTGCTGGTGTTTCTACTGATTTTCTTGACTTGCTTGTGGATGTGTTGGGTGCAGCTTTTTCTGGTGTGTTTCCTCCTTCGTGGCAACAAACTCGTATGGTCTTATTGTTCAAGAAGGGTGACCCTCAGTTGTTGGTTAACTGGAGACCTTTGTCCTTAATTAACAGTGATGCCAAGTTATTTACAAAGCTCATTGCTAATCGTATGAACAAAGTGTTGCCAAAGTTAATCAACCCTTATCAAACTGGTTTTCTCCCTCATCGTCTGATCTCTGACAATGGCTGGTTAAATCAGTTGTTGATGTCTCACTTGCGTGTTGTTGCTCCTGATTTACCTCAAGTGGCTGTTTTGTTGGATCAAGAGAAGGCGTATGATCGGGTTCATCCTGAATATCTTTGTCGTGTGTTGCTCCGGTTTGGTTTTCCTGGTGAGTTGGTGTCTTGTCTGTCTTCTTTGTTCTTTGGAACCAAGATTTCAGTGTCTATCAATGGTTGGCTTGGTGCTCCTGTACCTCAATTGCGAGGTCTTCGTCAAGGTGATCCTCTGTCTCCATTGCTATTCAATCTGGCATTTGAGCCTTTGCTTCGTTCTCTCCTTGCTTGTCCTGGTCTTTCTGGTGTTACTCTGTCTCCTGTTAATATCCCACGTAAATGGAAGCCTTCACCGGTTGAAGTTCGTGTGGATCATGGTACTGGTTCCCGGAATTGGACTTTGGACTTTGTCAGTGGCTCTGTTGCTCCTCCTCCTGTCAAGATTCTAAGCTATGCGGATGATCTTGAGGTGTTTTTGTCTTCGCCAGAAGAGTGGTCTGTGTTGTTGTCTGTTCTTGATCTGTATGGCCGAGCATCTAATGCGAAAGTCAATATCAGCAAGACAGTGTTGGTGTCGTTGTCTGGTGTGTCCCACTCTGCTTGGGTTGCTTTGGCTGATTCTACTGGTCTCCAGTGGCATGACGCTCACTCTCGTGGTGCAGTACGTTACTTGGGTTATCCCTTGTATCATACTGAAAGTCAACTTCAAGACTATCTTGATGGTGTCTTGGTGAAGGTCCAGCGACACAGTAACTTGTTGAAACAAAGGAATCTCTCCATTAGGGGAGCAGGACTAGTGGCTAACTCGTTACTGTTGTCAAAGGTATATCATTTGTTGCGTGTTGTTCCTGGTGGTGCTACTACTGCGTCGTGGTTGAAGTCTCTCACTACGGTGGTCCGTGAGTATCTGGTGTCCTTTCGCCCTGGTGTTGCTTGGTCTACTTTGTGTCTCCCCCGCAAGTTTGGTGGTGTTGGTCTCGTGGATATAGCAGATCAAAGCTTAGCTTTGCATCTTGTCTATTTGCAACGTTTGTTGCGTCCACCCTCTCCCAGTGATTTTGTCTCCTCTTGGTTGGTGTATGCTTTTCAAGTTTACACTGGTCATAAGTCCATCTTGCCGTGGTTTTGTTTTCCTGGTCTTTACCAGTCTCGTGTGTCTTCTGTGCCTGCTCTAACACATCTTGGAAAGCTTCTGTTGAGATTGCCAAAGCTAGTTCCTTCCTCTGGTTGGTCTGCTAGGTGGTTTCTTGATCTTCCCTTGTGTTCTGTACTCAGTACTGTGCCTTCTGTTCGTCCTCCTCGTGATCCATCATCTCTTGATCCTCGTTTCTTGGTGTCGGATGTCTCTTTCTGGCAACCTGATCTAGGTATAGTTGATGGTGTCACCTCTCATCTTGCTTGGTCATCTCGTGTTTTGCGCCCTGTTTTTCTTGCCTTGAACCGTGATCGTGGTCCTGTCTCTCTGGTATTCCCGCCTGTCATGGATAGTAAGATAGTCTTGTCTCAAGCAGACTATTTTGCTATGCCCCGTTCTGATGGTGCTACCTCTTGGATGCCAGATTGTACACATTGGACTGTCTCCAACTCGTCTCGTTCTGCTGCTCCGGTTGCTCGTCTCTCTCTTGGTGCTTTGCGAAGGTATTGGCACCCTGCAAAGGGTACCATTACCTCTCGTATGGGTCCTCCCTTGAAGTTGCCTGCCCATTTGTTGCTGTCTCCTGCTTTGTGGCGTCTTTTCTGGTCCCTGGAAATGCCTGCAAAGGCTTTCACACCTTGGTGGCGATTGCTACATGACCGTGTCCCGCACCGCTCGTGGTGTCATAAGATTATGCCTACAAAAGTTCTGTCTCCTGCTTGTGCTCTTTGTGGTTTTGCTACAGAGGACCTTTACCATTTCGTGGTGGGTTGCCATGTCAAGTCATTTTTTCTGGCAGGATGTAGTCTCTTTGTTGTCACTTCAAGAGCTACTCCCCTCTGCTTCTTCTATTTGGTTGGCGCTGACTACCTTTTGTAGTGGTTCGGATTTGTTGGTGATCGATGAGGATGTTCTGATTGCTCTTGGTGCTGCTTACAGTACACTTTGGAAGTATCATTGGCGATGCGTCATAGACGAGGAGCCTTGGATAGCTTCTGCTGCTATCAACATGGTCCGTCAAGACCATAGTACACTCTTTTCTTCTCTTTCTTTGGCAAGTGTTCAAGCTGGCACCTTGGCCTTGCCTGTAATTACTGTATAGATTATAAATTTAAAGCTAATAAAGATACACTTTAATACAAAAAAAAAAAAAACACGGAGATAGTCTCCATTGCTATTCAATCTGGCATTTGAGCCTTTGCTTCGTACTCTCCTTGCTTGTCCTGGTCTTTCTGGTGTTACTCTGTCTCCTGTTAATATCCCACGTAAATGGAAGCCTTCACCGGTTGAAGTTCGTGTGGATCATGGTACTGGTTCCCGGAATTGGACTTTGGACTTTGTCAGTGGCTCTGTTGCTCCTCCTCCTGTCAAGATTTCTAAGCTATGCGGATGATCTTGAGGTGTTTTTGTCTTCGCCAGAAGAGTGGTCTGTGTTGTTGTCTGTTCTTGATCTGTATGGCCGAGCATCTAATGCGAAAGTCAATATCAGCAAGACAGTGTTGGTGTCGTTGTCTGGTGTGTCCCACTCTGCTTGGGTTGCTTTGGCTGATTCTACTGGTCTCCAGTGGCATGGACGCTCACTCTCGTGGTGCAGTACGTTACTTGGGTTATCCCTTGTATCATACTGAAAGTCAACTTCAAGACTATCTTGATGGTGTCTTGGTGAAGGTCCAGCGACACAGTAACTTGTTGAAACAAAGGAATCTCTCCATTAGGGGAGCAGGACTAGTGGCTAACTCGTTACTGTTGTCAAAGGTATATCATTTGTTGCGTGTTGTTCCTGGTGGTGCTTACTACTGCGTTCGTGGTTGAAGTCTCTCACTACGGTGGTCCGTGAGTAT